GCCCATTGCAGGGTCTTTTCCCCGAGTCTCAGGCCTCCTTCCTCTCAAAGTCTTCCATGGAAAGGCAGGTCCAGTCACTGCCTGGGATAAACCTGCAGTTGCTCTATCACTTTTTGTGTTGCTGTTTGGGGCAGGGAATTGCACTAGCATGCCAAATACAGAAATAACTCCTCTTGAAAGAATAATCTAATCAGAGGTTGCAAAGCAGTTCTTTGTTGTTAACTAAGAAAGAGTAATAGCGGATTTTCCAGAGTCTGCATCTTTAAGGAAAAGGAACTGTAATGTACAACTTGGTTGGACTCCAGGCACAAGAGGAAATGGGTTATAGCAGTTGTGACTGTGTGGAGCAGATGTTTTGGTTGGACTGGCTATCAACCATCTGACTCATAATAAATTGTAAGTTCCAGTAAATTCCCAGTTTTCAATTACAGTAGGTAGGATACGAGAAAACAATGCTGTTTGGATGGTGTATTTAAAGTGGTTTTGGTAATTTTTATAAACAAATCATACTAACTTTGTAAAAAGGTCTAAGTATTTTGCAAAGGGAGCAGCTGTAAACATTGAAGCATGCGTTTGAATGTAAATTTAGACTGATATGAATGAGAACTAACAAATGGGTGTTTAGACAGTCCTGATACAATTAGAAGTAGGATTTTACATTTTGCTTTGGAGTCTTGTGATACCTGAAGTCTCTTCCTGAAGTTGTTCTGGGAAAAACAATTTCTAAGTGCCTTCAAACTTCCATTTTCATCTCTTCTGTGCTGCACTTGTATTTTCATATGGCCTCTTGTTCTTGAGTTCCAAAAATACATACTTAATGAACCTTCAATCTGCACTGGCTAAGCAGACAAAGGGTAGTTTAGAATAAAATATCATGAGCTTTATCTTTATGGTTTTCTTTGTAAAAAGTTTTATTTATTCTTGTAAGTTGTTGCTAGAAGGTCTCTGCAATAGAAAAAAACCTATGGGTTGAAAATCTTCAGGTGTTGGATTTGGTTTTTTTTTTTTTTAATTTATTCCTTTCTCACCACATTGCTTTACTATATATATTTTGCATCTCCACAGCACTTTGGAGGCTTAGTCAAGGATCAGTCCACACTGTGCAAAGTATCCTGTAAACATAGGAAACCACTTGCAGTTCTTGAGAAAGAAAACTATTTATTTTTAGTGTTAAATGGTGTGTCTGGGTTTTTTCCCTGCTTGATTGGAATGGGCATGTTATGAAATGAGCAAGATTATTTTTTAAAAAGAAAATACTTGATAGTGGGATGGCAGAAAGACACGATAAAAATCTGTGTTGGATCTTTTACATTGCAATGCACTAGAGGTTTTTTTTGCTATCAGGCATGAGACTGTTGCAGAAAAACTAATAGGTGTGCATTATCACATGTGTAACTAATGATTTCAACCATTTTTGCAAACATTCAGTTTTTAAACCTCAAAATTCCTGTGGCACAGAGTGTGCTCTCCATTCAGTGGAAGTTCAGTTTAATAATACCTTTTGTAAAGTCTTGTGTGGAAAAAAGTTCTGTGAGTATTAGATGGTACTTTAATGTGGTAGTTCTAACCTAATGTTTATAAAAAATTGACATAACTTAATTTTTACAAAATTGGTTTTTCTTAAATGTAATTCTTTAAATAAAATCCTCTAACATTAAGTGTTGTGAGCGAAATACAAATTATGAGAAGGAACGTGGCTACTTAAATGTTAAAAAAAGTGTTGTGACTTGAGTTCAACAGCCTCTTTTTTTCCTAAAAGGGAATAATATTGCCAAGGCAATTGGATGTCACTCTCGCTTTTGAAACCAACTGAAAAATAAAAATAGAGGTGATGTTTGCTTTGCTACTCTGTTTAAATCTGACCTGTTCTTTGAGAGAAATACTCATGCATAAATAGGAAAGGGGAAGACACCACTTGGGCAGAGTTTGATAACCATTAAAACAACCTCTGCTTTTGGTTACGTTGGTGTAATGGAAGGAAATGTCGCTGGGGAAATGTCATTGCCTGGTAATAGGAGGAATCCATCATCTCACCTAGTTACTAACAGGATTTTAGAGATGACCAGGAGAGAGACCACTGAAGGAGTTAAGTTGTGACTGACACAGACAACATCAAAAAGGTCTATTAAAGCTTTCCACAGTTTATCTGTAAGCCATGTGGTTTTGGTTTAATTTTATAAACAGCAGTTGTAGCAGCCATATTAGGGTTGAATGTTGTTCTACCAAGCAGATTCTTGCATGTATAAAAGTAATCAAGTCTGAAAGGAATAAATGGTATAGTGTTAGATACAAAGGGACTTCATCGTAAATCTGTGGCCACCTGAGCACTAAGGTTGGGCAACTTCATGGTGTTGCCGCATTTCATCTTTTTAAAACATACAGGAATGCTGGTTTTTTTGCATCTTTTTTAAGTTACAATTTTCATTTCTCAGGTATGTGGACCAAAAATACTCATCTGTTTGAAAAGAGGTAGTGGTAGAAGAATGCAGGTTTCTTTAATCAAATTTGTATTGGCCAGTAGCTGTATGAATGTAATGCAGTACTGTGCTGGCGACAGGAGCTGCAGTAGTGTTTGTTGTGTGTCATTTTTGTAAATGGAAGGTATTGCATGTCTCAGCTTATTGCTTTTACTGCACACAGCAGCTCATTGCAGCTTAACGTGCAGAGATACTGTGATGATTTATGTTGTTGTGAGGGGGTGTTTTTCGTGGCATGAGTCTTCATATTAAAGAAGTGAGTGTAGAAAATATAAGGTGATATTACTGTAAGGGTTAGTGGATGCTGTAATGGTGTTCACCTAATCTATTTTGGTGGGGTTTTTTTTCCGCTTGTTTTGATTTTCATTGATCAGTAAGTACCTGGGTGGTGTTCTAGAAACTGGTCTTATGCTTAGCATCAATCTGTGTGCACATCAACTTAAACACTAATACTAAATGCAAGATTAAATACATTTGGTTTTGTCCATGTAGCTTGTAAAATGCATGTAGGTTCTGTTCTGTAAAAACATATTGTTTGAAAAGAATTACAAACAAAGAATATGGTCTCAGAAGAAATGTATATGTACATGAGTGTATATGTACATCTCTTGAAGAATGCCCGTTAAAATCTTTTTAATCATTAGCATTACTGCCTAATCTGTCTTAATGGTTCTCCTCGTTTGATTGACAATTAGCAAATTAATAGGAAAAAGCCAGTCAATGCCATACTTAGCTTCAGGAGTGAAAGCTGTTCCTTATTTAAATTTTTTCCTTAATGATGGAAATATATGAAATACTGGGGAAAAGGCTGGGGGGAAATTGCCCTCTTGGGTATTTTTTGTTGTTGTTTGCCTTGTTGAAAAAGATTTTGTAATCTGCACTGGTTCTTCTACTGTAGATGATAGTACCATGTGGAAACGTACCACTGAAGGTAACATTGTGGGTCACGAGATCCTGTCCATTGCTGTTACAGGCAACCATGTCATATAATCCCATCCATAAACTGATCATCCCCCAATAGGACAGCAGCTAGTTTTTTGTCCTCACCACTCATACGGAGTGTTGTCCTGCAACTTCAGGTTACAACTGTGTACTGATTTCCAGTCATAGTGTGCTTGTGGCTGTTTTATAGGCGTTTCTAAAAGTACACTTTTCTTTCAGCTGTCAGAAGTCAGCTGCACACCAAGGCAAAATTTGACAAATCACTGTCAGTTCTGTCTCATTTTTCATCTAAGACAATTAGGCTTTTTAAAGACCCATTCTTCCCTGAAGCTTATCACAAAGTTTCTTGGCATGTTGTATTCTGCACGTATTAGCTGGTATGCAGCTAGTCTCTCTGGACATTAGCAGTTTCAGTCCTGCCAAAACTTCAAATGGCACGAGATTGTCTTCCTGAAACCACTCAGCAGTCACTTTTATTTTTTTTTTCTCCCCAGCTAGGGCAGGATCTCCTAACAATGTTTAGTTGGTTTGCATGTTACTTCCTCACAGCTGCTTGTGGGACAGAGCATACTAGGGCACACTGTACCATGCTGATCCTGCTTTGAGCACATATCTTCTGGGTTATCTATTTCCTCTCATATTTTTCCAAAACGGATAAAAACAAATGCATCTTGGCAAGTTGCTATGTACATACGCACAAACACATTAAAGGACTTCTTTGTGAGCAGCAAGTGGCACCATATTACCTGCTGTCGATGGAGGTGGCTGCACTGCTAACTCAGAGGTCAAGAGCTTAAGTTGTGTGTAGCAGAAATACACTTGTTCGTACTGTGTGTGATTTATGAATTGGAGAGATGTCAAGCCCTAATCAGAGACGGTTTGTTCTACCTGATCCCAAAACAGTAGCTGATTGTTGTGATACAAAGAAGGCTTAAATTGTAAATGTATTAAGATGGACTGTCATGTTATGTAGCATGGATTTTTTTTTTTACACTATTTTTTATAGAGTATGTAGCCTTTGCTGAAAGTAATGCATGGGTTTAATTTGCAGGAAACTTGGGGACAGTGACTTCTAGATACAAATTTCTGATTGCAAAAACATTTTTCATCCACAAGACAAGTAGGACTTGAGTACAACAGAAATTTTGGACCATATACTATGTTGAAAACTAACAAATATGAAATCTGTGGCCATAACTCAGTGATATTATAGCATTTTAAAAAATTCTTTGCCATTTGCATCTGATGTCAGTGTTACACCCTGAATTCTTAGAAATGAAGTCTGCATCTTTATTGAAATATGTAGTTCAGCTGATTGAAGAAGAGCTACACCACTGTACTTTTGCTACCACAGTAATTTTATTTTGATACTTCAAAGGAAATTAAACATGGAAGAATATATTTTAAGCACTAATACAGTAAGAAAGAATAAGTTTGTGATCTGTTTTTCAATGGTTACGCTTTATATTCCTCACGCGTCTCTTAAATAAGTTGATATTTGACTTATTAGTCATTTTCTATAAACTTATAAGTGCACAGTTTGTTATTTGCCATTTTATATATATTATTTTTTATGTACAGGATGTGAATGAAGATCCTGGAGAAGATGTTGCACTTCTCTCCGTTAGTTTTGAAGATGCAGAAGCTACTCAGGTTTTTCCAAAACTGTATCTCTCCCCGCGTATTGAACAGTGAGTGCAACAGGGTTTTTTTGGAGTGTTCATTCTATAGAATCTTCGAACTTTTCAGTTTTTTTCCTGATATAGATGAGAAATGTTGGCTAGGTGATAACATGCCATTGCTTTAAATTTCTTAAAGTCATAATGATTACTGCAAGTCTGTGTGTGGTAGAGAAATGATAGATCTTTTGGCTAGTTCTGTATCTATGGCTGGTTCACATCTGGATGAAGAAAAGTCATTACTGGCTACATGTGATATTCTTGTAGCATTATAATCCATGAACACCATGCTGTGTTTTCCTGTAGCAGTATATTTTGAATGACTCCTGCAGTACAGCATACTGATAGCGTTTTTGTATGGGAATCTTTAATTTCTTTGTCTTTTGAGAAGGTAAGTTCTTTGTATAAACATAATACATGTCAATATAGTATTGTTGTAGATGCTAAAGGGCAGTGTTTTAGGAATTTACAGCTTTAGTAAGTTACTTTTTTCAGGAGAATATCTGAATATTTCATTTTAAGATTGTTGAACCTTAGTGATCTGTTTACCAGTTGGGAAACAGATTTGATGAGAAATTAATGTCTACTCCTAAAATGGAAGGATGAGGATTAGTAATCAGTCTACTTTAATTAAATTTCTCTTCTTTGATTTCTGGAATTAATAATGTGTTAATTCTCCTCCTTTCCTTCAGTATCTCGGTCTTGTAATGGCTGCTTCAAAAAAGTAACTACATTGGGCTGTTCAGATACACAACAGTCAAGCTGGTCTAGCATTGTGTCAGTGATGCATTGTGTTTCTGGTTAATACTGCAGTGACTTTCCTCTGTAGTGGTGATGGCACTTCTGGGTAGAGAAGAAAAGATGGGAAATACTAACTACCACAGTATTTTTATAACTCAGGGATAAAGTTTGTGTGAGTGAAGAAACATGGTTTCTTGACATGTTGCTCAGCAGGACATTGGTCTGGATAAACTGATGGATGCAATTTAAAAAAAAAACACCCAAAAACAACAACAAAAAAAACCCCCTAAACAAACAAAAAAAGAAACCCAACAACAAAAAACCCCCCCAATATTTGATTAATCTAAAGGCATAAGGCTTCTCAGATATTTTATTTAAGAAATTGTAGGTTGCAGATGCAAACACACACACAATATATTCAGAAGCTTTTATATTTTCATATTTGTAATCAATTCACTACTTTTAGTTAACATTGAGTGAATAATTGTAGTCAAACCTGTAATTATCCTTCCATATTCCTACAAGTATTGCATTTTCTATCAGTGCCCTAAAGAATATCTGATTTTAGATGTGTGATGTAGAGCAATGTGGACAAAAGATATTGGGGTGGTGTTAGTACATATCTGATGTATTTATGGCTTTGTTTTTTGTAGTGTATGTAGTCATGTTAAAATCATACCAGTAAACCCAGGAGTTCCATGCCATACGTTGTCGTGTTATTTGTGTATCAGAGCTGAGATACTTCGCTCATATAACTCAATCTGTCCTTGTGCACTCGTTAAGGTATTCATCACAGCATCCAGATACTGGTAACCCGTAATACCAGAGTTGCTTGTGAACTGTTGCACTTTCCTTTATTCTGCTGGCTACTTTTTGTGTGCCATGAAAAAAATGTATGGGTATGTTTTTGATATTTGTTCGATTGCACTTTTAATAACAAAGGTATAGTTGTCTTTTGTCCTTTCCCAAAACCAATCTCTGCTCTGTTTTGCAGAGGCTGACAGTCTAGCTGTTTGACTTTCCAATGTTTGCAAACCAAAGCAACAATGTGTACTTCTTTATACTTTTTGCCAAAAGCACAAAATGCCTCAAGAAGCCCTGAGGATTAGTTTAATGACTTGAGGCCGTGGCATGCTACATTTGAATTGTGTTCTGCTTATAAAAGTTCTTTCCTGCTGCTAGCAGTAATTGCATCTACAAAAGCCATGTAAGCAAATTAACAGAGTGGTTTTTTTTAAAGCAGCAGATTTTGAGGCGGAGTAAGTAGTAGTTGACAGTTCCCAATATAACATTCCCAAGTACTCAACAAAACAGGAAAAATACCAAATTCCCACAATTATTTTGTTAATACTAAACTTTGTTCACCTTAGGAAGAACAAGCAAACAGGAATAGCATTTTCCTGATGTATGAAAAAACATTTTCAGATAGAAATGTTTCAGCTTTGTAGAGAAATAAGAGCAAAGGGCCTGTTTGTGTAACGTGAGTTATCTCCTGCTTTCCCAAGAGGTTTCATTGCTTTTGTACTCTACCATATAAACATGGATTCCCACATTGCATTTTCTAAAAATGGCGCATAACCACAGATCTTGCCAGTGAATTTTGGCCCTAGCAATATGACTATAGTGCTTTTGCTTTGAAGGGTGTTTGAAGAGAGTTCATTTACTCTATTTTTAGATGGATGGTAAGACTTTGACGGCTCTTTGTCATAGCATCTGGAAGAGAGATTTGCAAAATGAGGGGAATGTCCACTTTTTATGGTTTGAGGCTAAGACGCTAGAACACTGGTTGGCTTAAAAAGCTCACATATTAAAGCAGGGGTTAAAAATGCAGTACAGAAGTGTTTGGCTCATTTGAGTCAATATTGATGTTCCATTGACTTGTGTGGTGTGGTGTCTGGCTTCAAGAGTGTTGAGTCCAGTTCATGGAATCA